GGGCGGGAATAGGAGGAACTGTTCTGGCATGACGGGGCCTATCCCGATTTTCTGACTGTCTTGAACTCCCCTCAGGTGGAGTGGGGAAAGCATCCTCCACAGTTTTTGCCACAACTGCGGATATCTGTTGCTTATTCATCCCCCCGGCTTTCAAAGCCTCGACTGCCCACAGCAGTTGTTCGATGGGATCGGCGTCTATCTTTGCTTTGTCTTTTCCTCTGGCCTCAGCCTATTCGAGGGTTTGGGTTGATGTTGGCATGTCATTGCCATAGCTGGAGGCCATCTCCGGTTGGCTGAGTTCAATCACAATTCTCCCCAACAGCGGGGGCTCCTGGGGTGCAAAACTCCCGGCATATGGTGCGACTGGAGGTGAAGCTGACATTCCGTAGGCGAGATCCGCCACAGACCTCTGGAGATCGCCTATCATCCCCATTAGTTCGAAGGTGGTGGGCTCACGAGCCTGATACAACTGGGGGGCCCAGACCGGGTGCACAACAGGCGACCTGGGTGGATGTGGCATATCCATGTTGGTCTTACTTTGCAGAGTGATCCCTTGATCTGATGCAGTCGTCATAACCACAAACTCTTCTGAATCCTGCGTTGTCATAGGTTCTACCTCAGCAAGGGGGAACACTGGCTATTCTGTATCAACTCTCTGACTCTCTGAACTGAAAGGAAAAACAGACAGCATTTCAACCCAAACTAATCAAACATGGGCGTAGCCGAACAACTGTACTCTACTACTGATCACTGTTCCCCGGAATTACTGTCCCCAAAACTGAATCCGGATACCCACAGATAACTGATTCCCAACAACACTGATACTGGTGCCCTTGGGCCCGATATTCAAACTTGCAAACTGGTATGTACGTTCCTGTAGAGATACACTCTAAAAACACATAGCAAGTAAAGAGCCAAAACACCCCTATATTGGGGTAGGGTTTCCCTGTCCTATTTTGTCAGGAGCTAGGGTTTCACTACACACGCAGCGGTTTCAAACAACCTATAAACGGGTAAGCAACTTGTCCTAACTTGGAATGGTCACTACGGATCCGAATATGTACTAGGTCGAATGGTCGAAAAGGGTGCCCCGGTAAAACCGAGGTTTGTGTTCCCATACTGTCAGAGCCCATAGCCGGTCAGCCTTATGGTCATGCCTTGACAAGACAAGCCTCCGGCAAACCGTTCAGGAATGGCAAATGGCAAACACGGTGTTCCTAGGCGCACCAATGCACATGCAATGCAAAGAAACACATAAGTGAAATCAAAACAGGATATCACGAGTTCGAGTCAAGCCCTCTAAAGTCCCCAGCAGAGTCACCAGAAACTGTAGACGCGCCCGCGGTGAGGGCCTCACTACAGTTTGGACTCAATTAGTGTCATGGTTCTTAATCTGAACCAAAGAGTCCAAATCTGGCAAATCGTTTTGAGAAACAGATTTTTGAAAAAGTAGTGCCAAACATGGACTGCTTTGCCAGATACAGAGTCGCCACCTAAATATTTTAAAATGGGAGAATTTAGGAAACCCTGACTCGGTGCCGAAGGCCACATGTCCGTCATCACCGGAGTTACTACAGTTCGGACTCGATTTGTGTCACGGTTCTAAATCTGAACAAAAGAGTCCAAATCTAGCAAATCGCTTTGAGAAACAGATTTTTGAAAAAGTAGTGCCAAACATGGACTGCTTTTCCAGATACAGAGTCGCCACCTAAATATTTTAAAACGGGAGAATTTAGAAAACCCTGACTCGGTGCCGAAGGCCACATATCCGTCATCACCGGAGTTGTCTCGACTCGGGAGCTTGGGTACGATCGGGGAAGGTCAGCTATGAGCACCCCCTTTCGCCCAGCCCGAAGACCGGCCTCTACTAACCGTGATATCTGTTTTTGAAAACGTTATTTGTTCTTTAACCAGTTATTAGCCTAGAATTACTATGTTGTGCGCGCGGCAAACAAGTATAGACTAGATTGCCTAATTTGGAAATAAGCATTGCATATCCGTTGGTTTTGGAAAATGTTTTGGAATTTGCTACTCGCAAGTAGGCTAAAACACAGATTTCAATGAGTTTTTCCAACTCAAACAATCCAACCTCCACCCATAGGCATTCAAGTATTTTAACACATAAGCATTTAGCCACATGGCAAGCATACTGTCATGGCAACACTCACACGCATGCGGGATGCTAAAGCATAAATACTTACATCGTACTCCGTGCCAAAACAAAGAACTTGTTAGCAAACATGCATGATCCAAGTCCATATGAAGTGCCTAATGCATCGCATACAAAATGTCGCTAAGATAGGCTCGGCTAATCCTAGACATGTCATGTGAAAAATACACAATTATCACGTATTCAGTTTGAAAATTGAAGTATTGATGCAATTAGCGTGATGTTGCAGAAAATAATGGCAGACATAA